AGGGGAGAAGGAGACGAAATTAAGAAAAATACTTAAAAACACAATAAATGTGTAGATCTTTGCTTATGAGGAAGCAACTTTCACACCAAAATTTGGTTACAATTGCAACATTCTATTCGATCATAGTTATTAGAAATGATTATGGAATGGTGCCCTTGAGAAAAAAGTTTAGGATTTTATGTATTTATATTTTCATATTTAATCTATAAATCACTCACTTATTCATTAGAGTTATCTGATAAACTGATTAGAAATAGAAAAAAATGGTAGAGATGATGAATGGTTGGATGAGAGGTATTTGAATGGATGAAAATAGATAAGTGATTAAGAAAAAATAAGAGAGAGTATGCGAGGAAGAGGATAATAGAGATGAATAGAGTGATAACGGAGAGATGATGAATGATTTGATTATCGAAATGAAAATAGAGGTGAGGAATATGATAATGATGAAGGTAAGAAAGATGATAATGTATGAAGGTGAGTGTGTGATAAAGAAACGAAGGAGGTGAAGTGTTATATTATAGTAATGGATCACTGTAGCGTTAACATGCATAACTTAGAAAGAAAAGAAAAGAAGAAGACAAAAACGGATATAAAATTAGTATTATTTATTTATTTACTTTATACATTGAATAAGAAACCAATGCATATTACAAACAAAGTTGGTGTTTCGGTTTGCGAGGTCGAGGTTAACAATCTTTCAAGTTTCGTTTGTCCAACTCCTTATTCTTATCACTGATCATCTTCATTCTGTTGGTTCGTAGTGAAATCTGCATAAGACACTCTTATGTCAAAGTCAGTAAAGATTCAACTGGTTTAGCAATAAATCTGTGTTAAATATAACTAACCTACCATAATACCTTAAAACTTGTATTTATAGATTTCAGGATGGACTTTAGATTAATATTAGTCTAATTATGACTCAATTAATAATAATCGTATTTTAGTTTAAATTAATCATCATCAATCATAATTGTTATATAAGATTGATCGTTTGATTGTCATTCGACCGACCGGTTCAATAGATGTTCTTGACTAATAAAATCATTCAATTCTAAAGTGACCAGAGAATTATACATTAAAGTTGGTGTTTCCTATATATTAATTTTGAAATCCAATTTTTTTCTCTTCTTGTATAATTATATAAGGCTATTAATCAATATTCAAAGACATGTTTACAAAAAGCTAATTTTTCTTTTATCAATAATGTGCAATATTTATTTATTTATTTATTTTTCTAACTATTAAAAACAATTAATATTATTTCATTCCACCATATCTTTACTAAATCGCATTCACCAAAATTTTTTTTAAAATTCATTTCCTGCGAAACCATAATGGTGTTGTAAAAATCGGGTTTTATGGCCCTTTGGCACATAGCAGTACAAATAATCATGTATTAGTTGAATTTTATAACAATAATTATTTCAATTTTACAATTAATATCAACAATACCTTATTGTAATTAATTGATAACAGAGTTTATATACTGATCATGCATAACTATCAGCAGAATGGAGGTGACACTCAGATGCTAAATTTGTGAGAAGAATGACACTCAACAGAGCAGGAATGTGTTGCTCAGCGCCATGTACTTTGACTGGTTTTCTCTTTTTGACATTCCTCTTGCTTTTAGGGTCTTTCAATTCTTTGTTGTGGTGTATAAGTTTTATTTAATTGTTCTTGATACACTCTTTAACGTATGTTTGTTAAGATGTGATGGTGGATGTTTACATGGTTAAGTTGGACATTATAGTAAGGTAAAATAGATATTGCATATATATGGTTTTAATTTAAAGTGGATATGAAATGACTTGTGAGTATGTGATATATATATATATATAT